ATCATGGTCTCATAGCTGGGATGTGGTGTAGACAATCTAGCCCCAGACTGAAGTGGCCCACCCTTTATGCTATACACCTTTTTCACAGTCATATCAAGAATGTACTGAGGGTCTGTGAACACAGGTTGATTAATGCACATCAAGAGGGATTCAATAAGACTTCCAAAGAAGATGAGCTGACACTAGAATCATGTGTCACATTGTAGAGGTAGGATTCCAGAGTCAGGGGAGGAAGACTACTGAAATCAGAAGAAATACTAGAGGTAAAGAGGAATGAGCAGCTTGAGAAAGGCAAGTGAGCTCACAGAGCCGTAAGCTGTGAGAATGGTGTGGTACTCGAGATGGTCAGGTATGATTTTCATTGACTGATCTTAAGTCATGGGATTGTCACTGGGTAAGATGAAGCTGAACTGATGAGAGGATCCAAATGGAGAACATGGGAAGAAGAATGACTGAGGTGGGCACAGGCCGGAGATGAAGAGGTCACAGGAGGAACTGTAGAAGGGGAAGATGGAGATTAAGGGTCTAAAAGCACCCTTTTTTTGTTCTGCCATCTCTTCAGTCTGGGACATGCTGTATTGGATTTGCTGAGAGGTCTTCTCAGGTAAATATATCTAGCAGATAGTTGGAATGCAGGTCTATAACCCAGAGAAATATTCATGGCTGTGGAAGCAGATTTTTCAAGTCATCCAAGAGCAGAAGGCTCAGGAGAACATAAAGTTGCCTTAGGAGAGACAGGATATAAGTGGAAAAGAGAGCTGAGAGTAGGCACTGGATCAGGCCTACATTTGAAGTGTGGGCATAGAAAAGAGGAAATGGTCAGGAAAGTGGCAAGCTTCTAGAAAGTCTGAGGAAGTCCCATTTATTTCACATAGGTAAAAATGACAAGTAAGAAATGATAATTTTGGTTTTTAAGTAACACAATGTTCTCTTCCCATCCTTCTACCTAATGACATAGATACACACACACACACACACACACACACACACACCACCTTTGCTAAAGGCATTCTGTTCTACATTATACTTAGGAAATAAATACTTCCAAGAACCATATAGAAAGACTCTTAGGAGCTGAAAACCAAAAAGGATTTCAAGAGCCCATTTGGTCCATCTCCTTGCCAGTAGGGGCATTTCCTAAATCATCCAAAGAAGAAAATTGTCAATTCTATTTTTAAAATATCTCTACAGATGGTGATTCCATAAGCTCCCCTGCTAATTTGCTCCAGTGTTTAATCAGCCTGACACACAAAGTTCTTCTTTACATCTAACTCAATGCTCTCTTGTTACAATGTAGAATCTATTTCTTCCTCGGAAGTGGAAATATAAAACAGTCTAATAACTCAGAAAATCCATGTCAAATGTTCTCAATCCTAATGGCGGTAAGATGCACATGGTATTCTTATTTCATGTCAATAGCATGCAGTTTAGTCCCAATGACAAAGGAAGGCATCTAGTCCTAAATATACCATAAGCAGGCACTGATGAATACTCAAGTGTCCTTTTGCTCTGAATAAGGAAAATATGTGCAGAAAGCTTCTTTAGAATTACTAAGCCAGAGTTTTTCTGAAGAAAAAGGCCCCATCTAAAGATTTTAATGACTCTTTTTGGGGGCTTCTGTAAGTCTTTTATCTGTGATATATATGATTAAATACAAAATCTTCAAATGCCCATAGGTTTTTATAATGTTATAAACATTATTTTTCAATTACTCTCCTTTTTAAACAATGTCATTGGACACATTGTTTATTCTTTAAGCCAGAAATCTACATAAATTCTTGTAGATTTGAACTTTCTCAGATGACACTCTCAGGCAGTAAGGAAAGAGATTACTGAAATAGCTGAAAAAGAGCAACAAGACAAAAGCTTTATTTTTAAATTTTATTATTAACATTGGTTTGGGGCCAACCATGTGTGCCCAATGCTGTGGAATACTTCATTAACCACAGAGATATGACTACGAAGGGAAGGAACAACATCCTCATTAAAAATGCAGATGCAAAAAAGTTACAAAGCAGAATTTTAAAAGCCCTGCCCTGTTCCTCCCATTGCTCTGATAAATACTCCCAGCAGCTTCCTGGGAGTTGCACTGTCCTGGGCCCCCAGGGTCGCAGGTGCCAAAGGGGAGAAAGCCACACCAAAATTAGAGACACGATGATCAAGAAAGAGTGCCATGACCTTCTCTCATAAGTGGAAACAAAACAAAACAAAACAAAACAAATAGGAGAAAGCAAAACATTAGCTCAAAGATATTTAGGGACCAACAACAGCAAATATTTTTTAAAAGAGCCATGAAGAACACAATTTCAATGAATATTAAGAGGCATTCTCAGTTCTTATAAAAATACAAAGAACTGTCCTTTCAATGTCATGAAGGATCAACATGCTATTCTGTCTTTCACTCACAGGTCTAACCTCTAGACAACATGCTTTTGTATGTGCCTGGAATTTTCTTCCCACTCTCAATGTTTTATTCACTTTCCTAGTACTTTAGTTTTCTGAAGATTCAACTTAGACGGTATCCACTTCGAGGAAGCCATTCTTGACCTTCTTAACTGAGTGGGATGCTCCTGTTCTCCATACTCCAGCTACTCCCTATATTTAATGAAGCCTGAGATGAATCATGTTATATTTTCATTGTTCCACAGCTTGCCCATCTCTCCTTCCCTACCCAATGTCAAGGGCAGGAGAAACCCTTCATCTTATTCAGGCCTACATACCTCATGGATGGCATATTGTGTTGGCTAAAGTGTGTCAAATATATGAAAATCAAATAAATGCATATTTGGCTCCAAAGCCTTCCTGCTACTCTATTTGTTGATGTCTTTCTTAGTCAGACCTTCCTGCCCTTTCAACAAGGTCAGTGTTAGGGACTGAATTATGTCTCCCCCTCAAATTTACATGTTGACTCCCTAATCCTTAATACCTATTTGGAGATAGGGTCTTTAAAGAGGCTATTAAGGTGGGTAATAATTCAATCTGACTGATATCCTTATAAGAAGAGATACCAGGGGCAGGAATGCAGAAGAACAACCATACGAGCCCATGGAGAGAAAGCAGCCATCTGCAAGCCAAGGAGAAAGGCCTCAGAAGACCCTAAACCTGGTAATACCTTGATCTCGAACTTTCAGCCTCTAGAACTGCAAGAAAATTAATTTCTGTTGTTTAAGCCCCCTAGTCTATAGTATTCGTTATGGCGGCCTGAGCAAATTTATACAGTCAGTATTTTCTCTTATGCATACCATCTCTTATACATCCACTCTTCCCCTTTTGTTTTGCTAATCACATTTTTAATATCTTGATCAAAACTCTTTTCCATTTAGGGTCCCATGAAGAAAAGAAAAACTGTTTAGGTCTTTCAAAGACAGGAAATTTAATGCAAGGATTTGGTCACACAGGTTACCAAAAAGCAGAGAAGTTAAAAGGGAGATGGTGAAGCAACTCAGAACAAGAGGCTGCTACCACCCAAAGGATTTGGAGGGACAATGGGAGGAAGAGGCTTTACCAGAGCCCAGAAGTAAGGAGTGTCTCTCAGGGCTTCAAATCATGGCTAGCAGAGCTGGTGTCCACCGGAGAGGAAGCCATCTCCTGAGACAGAGAGGAAAAGATGAAGCAGGGCTGCTGACTTCTTCTGCCCTCCAAAGCTGAGCCAGTGCCTGCGCTTGGAAGAACAGTCAAACACCATTTGACAAAGGAACCTAGGAGATACAGCATGTAGGGATTATCCTCCTTCACCCTCCCACCCCAGAGGAGCAGAGAAGGGTAAGAAATGAATGCGAGAGCAGAGTTAAATTATGGGCACAGCTCACTAGAATATAAGAAACAGGAGGACTGGAGGTGTATCTGTCTGGTTCCTGCTTTATCCCCAGCCCAGCACCTAAAAAACACTGTACAACACATATTAAGTATTTAACAAAGAGTTGTGAAATCAATTTTAGCTAACTGAATCTCCTATTTCTCATTTGCCAAATTCTCTGCCATAATTAATATACTACATATCTGGAAAACCCTCCTAGAGGATAAGATTCAAGAGCGAGAGGTTTTATTATCTGTTTTGTTCCTTGATTTAGTGCTAGCACTTAGAACATGCCTGGCCAGTAGTGGGCGCTCTAGACATACTTGTTGGACCAATGAAGAAAAGTTTGGTAGAGTGGAAAAGCCCACTTTATCATCTTGACTAGACTGTGATACGTCAAAATAAACGCATTAGGAAACTGTTAGGTTGGGTGTCAGAATTCTCAAGGCCAGATTTACAGAAAAGATTTACGTGTAAAGAATGTGTGAAATAGACTTGCAAGGTGGGGTCATTTCAGTGTATTCAGACTCGAAGGCAAGGACGTAGACCAATTCTCCCCATTCTCCCACAGCTGACCTTCCATGTTCTCCTTCAGCCTTTACTTCCATAAAACGCATAATTGCCCTTTCTGGCAGTTCATAGAAAAGTGCTTTTCCCAGCCCTTGTAGGCTGCCCTGGATGGAAAATGCCCTGGGTTCTCAGAGACTTAACACCCGGCCTTGTGAACATGAGCAAGATTATTCTCTCCGAGCAGCTCTTTTCACATGTGATACGCTTGGCAAGCTGCCCTGGTAAGTGTCAAGCCCTGAATGTTTTTGTTTTTGCCCTGGTGGTCCTGAGGAGTTACTGGAATACTTCTGGGGATCTGTTTTGTCTCAAACTGTGGGCTGATAGTGACATTGAGAAGAAGCAGGTAGAGACAGAGAGAGGGCTCTGGACTGCATCGCATTTAATTCTGATAGCAGACTCCCTGTCTGCCCTGGCTGCCTCAAAGCTTCCTTCCGTCTCTCTTTGGCTCCTTCACTTTGTGCTTCCCAGTATTACAGGGCAATCTTTTGTGTGCATGTTTTCCCCTTTTGCTCCCCAGAGAGGCTTGTCAAAACTCCTTATCTGCTGATGAATGAAAGGAATTTCTCCTGTGTGGGCGGGACCTGATTAATGCAGCTCTGGCCAGCATGGGTAGGTCACTGAGTTAAGGGAGCACCAAAAGGCAAAGTGCACTGAAAATATCAGAGTTGCTGTTGTGCCAGGAGGTGCCATCAGCAGGCATTTTCCTCCAAGCAGAGGGATGGACAAGAAGGAGAGGTAAGGCTAATAGAGACAGTCTTGGACTCATTTACTCTGATGGGGAGAGAGATGCACCATACCAGCTGACATTGACTTTGGCCTTTGCAGCATTCCGTCCACACTGATACTTGAAAACATGTGTTTAGGGGCTTGAATATATTTTAGAGCTGAATGAGAATCAGCTCTGTTTCTTCTTCATACAGGACTTTTTGATATTTGAACTGAGATTCATTTTCTTAATTTCCTCCAAACCTCAACCAACTGAAACCTTTTCCAATTACACAGAGCAAAAGAGATTAGACTGTTATATCCATTAGCATAAACATTCTATGATGCGCAGTTATGTATCTCACATAAGGACTTGCAAGGAGTGATGACTCAATACTCAGTGAATGATTTAATCAAGGAATCAATGAATGGATCTTCCTTCTGCCAGGGAGTTCTAGTGTATATGGTACCACCATCCACATAAATCCTAAAAAGCAAACTGTGTGTGTGTGTGTGTATGAAGGAAGGGAGGAAGGAGAGAGAGAGGGAGGGAGGGAGGGGGGAGGGAGGGAGGTAGGAAAGAAGGGTGTCCTTGTTACCCAATGTTGGGCAGGGGATGGAGAAAAGAGATATAAGTTCAGGGAAGATGTAGGTGGTCATCCTGTGATTCTGCTGAGATGTTCATTATGTCTGTTTCATTCTCATGATTCATTTACTGAGTACATACTAGTTGAAAGATGTGCAAGAATATACCCTTCTAAATACATCATAGTCTGGGTGAAAGCTACTGGGAATGAACAATGAGGAGCATAAGGCTTTAAGTCAAGAAGGCTGAGTTTAAATCCCAGCTTCATTTCTTGCTCTATGTAACCAACTTTAATGTACTTGATCATTCTGAACCTCCATATCCTCCTCTACAAAGTGGATCTAGAAATAACAGCTACCTTACTTGTCTATAGAAAGGCTATATAATTTTTTTTAACTTTAAAGTTATTCAATCCAAACACCTATTTTCCGGAAGGATTTGTAGCATGCATGTTCTTGGCACCTGCTTGGGGGTCTCCTCTGTATTCTCAAAAAATATCTATTTCTGTGAAAAATTAAAAAGACTGTTCAAAAAATCAAACTTCCTGAAGATATAATCTTTCCCAATTTTCATTTCAGGAAGTAGACAATTCTTTTCAAGAATTCCCCTTGTTCAGAAAGAGATGCCTTTCTTTTTTCTTTTTTTTTTTTTTTTAAGAGATGCCTTTCTAAAGCAGACCATTTGCAGTCTCCTGTTGTGCTGTCTACCAATCAGGCTGGAGGAAATATAATTGTATGACTTGTATTACTTAGATGGCATAGTAGTTGCATCGTGCAATTAGGAATTTCGTGAGAGGCATTTCTAACAGATACCATAGCTAAAAATAAAGTCCATCTATTTCTGCTCATTGCATTCAGAATTATGCCCTTTGGGGAGGGGGGTACAAAAAGACTAAGGACTCTGGCCTCCTGCCGCCTTCTACACTTCTTACCTTTAACTGATTCTGCATCTATTGGCAGGCCTTGCAAGGGTCTCTTACTTTGTCTCAGGACCCCTAAACTCAATTTCTGAATAAATACTTTACTAAAGAAAAAGAGTATCTGTTCTAAATTTCTAAGTTCTAAACTTCATTGTAAATTTCCAAGTTCTAAACCAAGTTCTAAATTTCTGTTTGCTCTTTCCTATCAAGGTCTCCCTGAAGCCCTGACACTGGCCTAGTTCTTTTGGTTGCCATCCCCTGGGATGGGCTTGCATCTTTCCCTGTGACTATCCTCATTCAGTCTCCCTTTAGCAGCTTCTTGTGCCTTTGCCACCTCCTTCCAACCAGGTCGCTTCACGTTGGGTTAAGACGGATGCAGCTAGGATGCCAGAACTGGCTGGTTCTTCTTTTTCCTGATCTAGTTTTACACTGAATGTGCTGAGAGCCACAGTGCTCCTCAATACATTGCATGTGAAAGGTAGCCTATTTGATGGTAAATAAGCCACTATCATTTGAGGTTACCAAAGAAGACAGAGTTTGTTAGATTCATTGAGTCATAGAGTCATGCTTACGCTGAAACAGACCTTACAGAACTCTTCCAACCATCTCATTTTACAGACAAGGAAACTGAACTCTAAAGAGAGGAAGAGTCTAGCAAAGGTTATAGATAAGAGAGATTTAAATGTAAATTTGGGACTTAACGGCACTAATTTGAGATAAAACAGATTGGGTTTTTTTTGTTTTTTGGCATTTTTTTTGTTTTGTTTTGTTTTGTTTTGTTTCGTTTCACATGGACATGAACAGAGGAGAATGAGAAAATTTGGAACCCATATGGCTGAGGGGGAAAGAAAGTAGAAAAATCTTTGTGTGTAGGGTGAGGGGGAGGCATAGGAGAGTAGAGGCAAGAAGTGTTCAAAAAGGAAATCCACCAGAAAAGAATTAGGAAAGAAAAAAAACTCAAGTGTTTAATAGATTAACCAGGCAGGAACTGAAAAGACCACTTTTAGAAATTATATTGGCAGAACACCTTGAAAAGTCAACCATGAAAGGATATTTCTAGGGATAAGGAAAGGAAAGATCTAGAGAAAAGCTCAGTCTGTTAAGAATGGCTTAAAAGAATAATTTGGGTGAAATCTTGGAAGTGATTGCTCTTTCTTTAAGCGAATTAGAGGTATCAGAAACACAGCTTAACTTGGTGCAAAAATAGTGTGGAATTGGCTGTAACCAGGCTCCTCTAAACCAGGCAGAGCCAACTGTGTATGATTTGTTGACCTGTAGCAATGTGAAATCCAAACTTCCACATTCCCAAGTAAAGGTAAATCTTGCAGCCAAAAATGACTGGCTGAGTAGGAGATTTTGATGACTATGCTTTCTTGTATAGACTGTGTTTTTCACTCTTTTGAACTGTTGCAGTCAATGGTAGCATTTATTACTGTGAGTTTAGTCAATAGTAAATTTGACAGCAATAAAGGAGGACTGCTAATCATTTGAGTATTTACTGCAAGTGAAAACAATATCTGTAATAGGTGGTCTAAATTGACTTTCAAATAATACCGGAAGCAAATGACTATGGTAACTTCAGGGTCATGCTGACAATGCTATTCCCTAGCTTGCTTCATTGGATGTGTACACTTTCATGGAAATAATGTACAGAAATTAGTTATGCTCCTTATTACCTGTGAGGGTCCTAGATCTTATAAAACTTCAAGAGTAAGGAATGTGAAGATATATACGTTTATTTTCATGCAAATATTTAATAACCGTTTATGGAGTCTCTACATCTTATAGGGAACTATAGAATATCCAAACATTATTAAGTAAAACTGGGTGAGTTTACAGTCTCTAGTATGCTTTGTGGATTTTAGTTTTATGTACCAAACAGCAGTTTGCTTAGAATGCAAAGCTTGCCTTCTTCCTCAACACAACAGCACTGGGGATTTTTAGATAAAGCAGACTACCATGTAGGTAACGTTGCTGATTTAGTCCTTAGACATCATTTATTAAAAAAAAAAAAACAAAAATAAAAAACAAAAAACAGAAATGAAGAATCTAATAAGATCGTATCTCTACAAATTATAGTCATAAGAAGCAATTTTTAGAAAGAATTTCTTCCATAATAACTACATTAAAGTCTCTACACAACAAAGTCAGCAAAACAGGAAAAGAGAGGCCAGAGATATGAAGATGAATTATTCAGATTTACCAAGTGTCACTCAAGCTGTTCTGTTTTGAAGACTCACTCATTAATGTATTCATTTACTTAATCTTACTAAATATCTACAAGGTGTTTGAAGTATAAAATAACAGGACAATGTGTTTAGCCTCAAAAAAGCTAAAAATCTGGCAGTGAAGACTCTCTCCACATAAATATCTATGGTCCAATGCATGTTGCAATGAGGTTGTAATCAACACAGAGAAGGAGGAAGAAGGGAGAGAGTCATCTCATAAAGGAGGTGATAGTTAAGCTAGGACTTAATAGATGAGTAGAATATTTGCAAGTCAACAGAGAAAGGACATTCCAGACAGACGTAATAGTGTATGCAAACTCATAGAGGTACAGTAGTTTCTTTCCAACTCATATATATTTAAAAACAATATAATAGAGATGCCATTAAAAATTAGTGGGGAATAATGAGACTATTCAATAAATGCTGCTGAGAAATGAAATATCTCTGTGGAAAAAAATAAAATCAAACCCCTACCACTATGCACAGAAAGGTGAATTCCTGATAGATCAAAAACATAAAAAGTTTAGAAGAAAGTATTTAAAAATATATTTATCACTTTGAGATACAGTGAATAAGAAACAAAGGCACACATTATTGAAGAAATTATAAAGCTGACTATGTTCAAATTTAAACACATGTTACGCAAAGGACACCATAAACAAGGTAAACAGACATGCCACAACATTAGGAGAGGACTTTTGCAAAGTATATAACAAAAAAATTATTATCCCAAAATTTTAAAGATGCTTACAAATGAGACCACACACACAAAGCTCAATAGAAAAACAGGCAGAGGATATAAAGAAGTAAGTCACAGAAAAGGGAAGAATAACTGTCCTATAAACATCTGAAAGGTTGCCTAGCTTCCCTCGTAATTTGGGAAAACCACAATTAGATACAATTCCAGACCTAGTTTGGCAAAACATAAAATGTTTGATAATAGTAGATGTAAGCAAGAATACAGAACAGTGGAACTCTCTCATACTGTGACAGAATTAAAATCTGTCTGGAGAATAATCTGATAATATCTAGCAAATTTGAAGATGGATATCTCCTTGATTTCATCAACTTCATCCCTAAATGCGTAACGCAGTGAACTTAGTAGATGTACCCAAAGAGATGTGTAAAGAACACAGATTACAGTATTTTTTGTTAAAATGAAAAGCTAAAACAAACAAAAAATAAAACATAAGTGTCCATTAACAACAGAAAGAATATGCCATTAAAAATTAGTAAGCTAGACCTATGAGTATCAATGAATAACCCTTAAAAAAATATGGTAGTGACCAAAAATTGT